GAATGCCTGGGCGAGCTGTGAGTTTTGTGAAGATAATTTGCCTGTAGCTGTTGCTTGTTAATTCCCATACTGATGACTGTTCACTATTGCCACAGGGAGACCCTGGCAGAAATGGGAAAGATGGATTACCAGGAAGTCCTGGCTTCAAGGTATGTACATTTGTATACATTTATGTACATTTATATCTTGTTCAAGTATGCTCATTTTATTCTGTGAAGAATTACAGTAAATTAAAATAATGTATATTACTGGGAAATGCCGAAGTTTACTACAGTCAGTGGGCAGGCGTCATTGATTTCAGTTGACTTGTGAGCAGGGACAAAGCTTGTATTAAGAGTGTATTAGTGACTGTCAGAGGTTCTTTCTACTTCATCTCCTTTCTCCTGTTTGTGTTTCTGAAACTTTGTGAATCTGTTAATGAAATTTTATATGTATACAGGCATATGCTGCAGAAGGTACCTGTTTTGTACAGTTAAGAAGGAAGTAATCTTACTTTTGAAGGGAGCTGGATTAAAATTAGGGGAAAACACGTTCAGTATTGGATTAATGTTTATGTTCATATTCTCTTTACTGTGCAGTCCCCTTTATATTTCATTTAGAACGCCTTTTCAAGTGCACTAAGTATCTATCTGCTGTAAAAAAAGACCACAGGGTCTGATGTAACTATAATGTGTTGCAGTCTGTGAGCTCACTGGACATTTTGTTTACCCAGTTGTTGCTTGCACTATTCTAATTTATGAAAAGATGGCCTTCAGCAATATCAGTTTTAAGTTCACCAGAAAATAAAATTTTAAAAAAAAGCTATATAAATGCATTGATCTGAAAGAGCTTTTTAACAGCAGCTTTGTTCCTGTCGTAATTTACTTAACAATACAATAATAATGAAATGATCTAAGGCTGCTACAAGAGCATGTACTTCTGACACTTGCAAATATGTCAGACAAAAACAATTTAACAGGCATTCTTAAGACACTCAGCTAAGTTTATGTCTATGGGTGAAGCAGCTATAAGTCAGTGGAATCAATATAAGTCAATGGGGGTCTATCCAGTAATGCCACTGGAGTCTGGACAGCAATTCAGCTCCAAGAAGGAAGACTTGTGTGTACCAGCTTAGATGCCTATGTAAAAGCCTCTGGTGCATTAGTGTCCAAAGCATCCCAAGGGAGCTAACAAATATGACCTAAGTCCTATGGAAAGCCAGTGCCTTTCTGGAGTGGGAGTAGGAATCCAGACAAGACACCCATGTGTATCTCCAATACGACCAAATGTCTGTGTGTGTGGGTAATGAAACTGAGCTCCTGGTAGCTGATCAGCTGAATCAAGCCTCCATCAATGGTCTTGACTAGACTTCCGTTGGCTGTGATAGGAGCTTAGTTACCTGCATGAATTTGTTTCCAATGAATCCTGCCTTATTTTCGATATGTGTACATATATATGTATATCTAAATGCACATATATGTACACATGCACATATCTCTGCTAAGTCGGTGGAGAAATTCCTTCTCTGGTACTATAGAAAGTAGAAAAAAAGAATTATTAGTAGATTTTTTTTTCCCTGGAATTCGATAACTTGGTCAGGTAATAGTCACAGTTGTTTAACATAAAATTCTAAAAGTGTCACTGCTGGCCCCTTGAGAGGGAAGTATTATACTGATAAAGTGTGAGTTTAGAGAGCATTTTTATCTGTTTTTATGCTTTTAAACAATGCACAGATAATTCAGTATATTAGTTGTATGAACCTGTGTGCTTTTAAATTGAAAGTAATTTTCTTGGCTATTTTCTTAATTTAATTATTGTACTACAAAAATATGACACACTCATTCATTTTAATTCATTTTTATATTATAATGGTTACCAGAAGCTATATTATGAATTCAAACATTTTGTCAGCTTGACTTCAACATCTGCTTGCTATAAAACATTGCTTCATTCTGGGTCTGTAATGAAATTCAGAGCAGTCACATACGGGCTGTCTTTGAAGGAAATTTCTGCTGGAGCTTTCCTGTTTTCTTACAATTTTCATTCTGGGAAAGAATGTGGGAAAAAAAGCATGTCTTGAAACCCAGATGCTACCCGTTGTTGCTTCAAGTCAAGTTTAAGTAAATGATTACCAGATAAATGTATATATATATACACACAAATATATATACAAAATATATAATATATTTTATATATGTATAATCTTTATAGATAATATATAAAAATATACTATATACTATATATATATACGTATATATACACTATATATACGTTGATCTTTGCATTTGCTTGATGTGATTTTATTTCTGGAATTATTCTTCAAATTTCCAGAATATTTTTGTATCAGTGTTATTTTGAGTAAGAACATAGAGATTTGATCATGTCTGGTACTGCTGTATTCTGGAGTGCTTTTAACTAGTTTTCAGACTATTAGTGGTACTAACAATGATACGATAACGATTTATTACTGTTTTATGCACTTCTTCAACCAGTAGTTGCTGTTCTCATTCAAAAGACAGTTGTCTCTCTTCTCTTTTTGTAAGCTGTTTGTCAACTGTCTTTTGGACACATCATGAGGGAATATGAGATTGACAATATTCCTTACTGTGTTTGAAACTGTTTTTTTAAGAGATACTTGTTTGATAAAGCCTTGTTCTTGTGTGTTTCGTTTAGATTTTACTCCCTGAAAGTGTTCAAGGCCAGGCTGGATGAGGCTTGGAGCAGCCTGGTCTAGTGGGAAGTGTCCCTGCCCATGGCGGGTGGGTTGGAACTAGATGATCTTTAAGGTCCATTCAAACCCAAACTATTCTATGATTCTGTTAAAAATAAAAATATACTAATTATTTATTATACAAAGGAAGGGTATTTTTTTAAATATTATGTTTAATAGTTATAATTATATTGAAGGGAGAAGTTGGACAACCTGGATCTCCAGGCCTAGAAGGACATCGTGGAGACCCCGTAAGTGATTAAACTGCCGACATATCCTTGTGTACTGATTTGTTTGGGGCATTTTTGTTTGGGGTTGGTTTGTTGTGGTTTTTTTTTTAATTGACAGATTTTATACTTCACGTTTCATCCTTGTTGATTTGAATTGGTAGATATGGCCATTTTTGTGAAAATGCTTTTTTATTTTCTGGCATTCCGTCTTTGAATTTGGATTTAGCTAAAGAAACAAACAAGCCTATAAAGTTAAAGATGCCTTAAAATAAAAGATTCTTAACTATATTGCTGTTATATAGTTGTATATATATTATAAAATTATCTCGTTATTGACTAATTTCCTATGATAGAATGTCATGGTTAGACATTAATAGTTACTTACACGAGGAAAGATTCTGGGATTTTTTAACTCTTAATTTCTTCACCATGTTATATATTCTTTCACATAGTTGTTAATTGCACTTTCAAAGTTTATTTTTTCACTGTCTGCCTCTCCTCCTGTGTCCAGTTTTATTGGCCTTTTATTTCCTTGCATCTTGTTACACTGTCCATGTTATCTGCATCTCTGTTCTTCTTGCTTAGCTGGGGAACATGCTACTGCTTTTTTGTTTGTTTTCACATTGATCCTCTGCTGGTGTTTGGGCAGGTCCTCAGGGCAGCTCATTTCTCCTCTTCTTTACATGTGATAGGTATTTTTTCTTCTCCTTGTTTGGCTCCTTAAGGGCACCAGACTGGTTGAAACAGAGGAGCCACAATATCTGTAGCAATAGCTGAAAGCTTTGAGTGCCAAGTGGGAGCCAGCTGTCTTCATCAGTAATTCTGTAGGCCAAGAGCAGTACTGGAGCTTAGTTGGCGGAACACTGCCTTCCAAATAAATTGCATTATGAATTATAAATTAAGGACATAAAGCTTTATACATTCAGAAATTTTCTGTTATTGAATATAACAAGAGGCATTATGTGTTATATGGTACTGAAATCTGTCAGAGAATTTTAATAACTAGGAGATGAAAATTGCAGTCTCAGCTGAAAAATTCTCAAGCTCTTCCATACAATTTTTTTGTAAACTCATCAAAATCTCAAAAAACACTGAGTAGACTGCAAGACAGTGGGCAATCCTTCCTGAGACTTTCTTCCTTCTTGGCTGGCTTAAGTAAAGAACACACATAATTCCTCACTTGGCATTATTTTTTTTTCTCTTTTTCTGCCCTAAATAACTGTGAGATAAGTTAACCTTTTATAGTCTATGGTATCTTGAGATTAACATTCACTTTCAGTCTTTTTTATATTAAGTACCATAAAATACTAGTCAAGAGGTTTTGGTATATTGTTAGTACACGATAACACGTTGAAATAATAACAAAACTTCTGTTCCTAGTCTTGTACTGTGTCTTTCCATTTTTAGAAAAAATGTTAGTTAGAAATTGTGATTTTTTTTTAATTAGTCTAAAAAATAGGAAGAAGGCAATTCTGACATAAGCTTTCTTTCTGATCTGATAGCTAAAGAAATATATCTGATCTGCTAAAGAAATATATTTTGATTTAAAATTAATATAAATGCTTCACAATAGAACATTTTGAACATTGATGTAAACTCATGACTTGAGTCCCATATTTTTGCTTAAAAGAAAATGAAGTGGCAGATCTATGACATTAAAATCACCTAGAAGTCCTTCAAAATCATAATAAAATAATATAGAGGAAGACTTCCAATATATAAACAATAAAAGATTGTACACAATCCTAACAGGGCAAGCCAGATTGCACTCTGTGCTTCATTTGTAATCAGTGGAGGTTCTTCTCAAGAGCAGAAAGACCACATACTGTTCAGGAAGTTGCCTCAAGGTAACCAGTAGGAAATGTAAGAGCACCATATCTGCCTCTGCTGGTATAGGAAGAGATTGCATGTACAAACATGGTGCTCCCATCTTTACCAGCTTTGTGGTAAAAGTGTGTGCTTGGGCTGTGGAAAATTAATGCTAACCTCAGCCATGTGGAATGTGGGCTCCCATATTCAAGTAGAGGGTAGTTGGTTTTTATCTGGTAGAAGGTGCTCCTCTTTTGTGCAATTCAGTGTAATCTTCTCTGATGGGATACCCTAGTAGTTAGGGCACCAATGTGAGAGGGAGGGAGACTGAACTTTGCTGTGCCCTCCCTGTGGCAGCCAGCTAGGCTGCTTAAGCTCAAGACAGGCTTTGGATGATAATGTTGAAACTGTATGACTCCATATCATTGACCAGTCAGATGCAACTGTTGCCCTGGGACAGCTCAGCAGGTTGCATGGATACCCTGCCCACACAAACGTACATGCAAACAGTCTTTATTTCTTCCATTCAGCCACATTAGTGTTAGACATGGCCTAATTTGTAAAATTAGTCTTTTAAAAATAACTATCTTATGATCTCTCTTGCTTTAGCAAATAAAAAGAGGATGGTAGTGAAATGAATGCATCTTGAGATAACATGTAAGAGGTAACTGTCTAGGATGAAGAGCACAGCTGAACTGAACTCCCATTGCCTCTAGCCTCTGAGAGGTGTGGTCATGTTTTGGACAGCACACTTTCTGGTATATTATTACTCTCATTAATCCCCAAATTTATGAAGAGGAAAAAGTAGGTTGTAAAACTTGAGTAAGTCGTTCCAAGTGATGTGGTTGTTTCCCCTCCATAATGCTGTTTGGAACTTAAGTTAGCCAGGCCATTCCAGTCCTACCCACTCTGTGTAAGAATAATGTTTGACATTATGGACAGAATAATTTAGATAGCATTTAGGAAAGCAAGTAATCAAGCTCATTTTACTTATGGCAAAAATAGGCCATGCTGTCACTTGAGTGGTTTAATGGGTACTCATCTGTCTTACTGGTGACAGGCTGTTTTGATAAATATGCTTTGTTTTGAGGGACCAATTTTCTAAAAGATAGAATAAATCAAGATTTATTTGATGTTAATTTCAGCCTGGCTGTCCTTTTTAAGGTAGAGAGTTTTAAGAGTTTTGTCTGAGTCTGATTTCAGTAGAAGCTTTCAAAGAGTCACAGAATTACCAAGTCTGGAAAAGACTTTTAAGATCATCAAGTCCAGCCTATGACCAACACCACCACATGGGTTAGACCATGGCACTAAGTTCCACATCCAGCCTTTCCTTGAACACATTCAGGAACGTTGCCTCCACCACTTCCCTGGGAAGTCCATTCCAATGTCTAATGAATTGCTAGACTTCTTGTGTTTACAATCCTGCAGATGTACTCAGTATACTGTACTGAGTGATTGTAGGTGAAGCTGGCAGGACATTTATGGCACTCTTCTTGGCCTGGCATATGCTGTCCTGCCACAAGTAATATGTCTGAACATTTGCAGCTGCTTATGTTTACTCTTCAGAAATCATATTTTTCAGAAATACATCTGCAAACGCTTAAAAGGGTAGAGTTTGGCCTTCATATTTAGGTCACATCATAAGACCTCAAATGTGGCCTCATTTGTGCCTGTGATAGCAGCATGACATGGCTTCCAGCTTCTGACCTGAGTCCCACTGTTACACCTGTTATACTCCTGGTTTGTCTGTTGACCTCTTGTAACTGCATGAGGAATGTTGGATCTATATCAATGCATTCTATGAAAAATGTGTGGTTTGTGCTAGGGTATGGTAGCAGAATTATTTTTCAAATGTGTTCAAGATACACTAAGGATATGCAAATCTTCAACAGAAGTTACTATATTTTTCTTTATAAAGCAGAAATCTTTAAAATACAGCATGAAACTGGTATAGCCGGGTGGCCTGTATATTTGGAAAGCAAACCTAAAGCTAATGTAATTCTACTGCATCTGTAGCCATGTTGAGATTAATAGAAAGAGGAACCAAGGAAAGAAAATTCCTGACTGAGTTATATGGTAGTGTGCAGAACAAAATATTTTCTTGGTGTTTTTTTTTTTTTTTTTAATTTTTGTGTGCCATGTGATATTATTCCCCCCCTCCCTTATTACGCCATTGTCCAGATCTCCTCCCTACGAACAAATTTACTTTAGTGGAACCCTCAGAGTGCAACACCTTGAGGCAATATGTCTTGTAAGTTAGCTTTTGTTCAGTGTTGTTTCTCTTGTCTGTCTTTGCATTTTCCTATAAAAAAGCCAGACACAAACCACAGAACTACTAGTAACCGTGTTATCTGTGTACTAATAACTTTCTTTAGAGATCATGTTCTTGGAACATATGCCTGGCAGCTGATCATAATATAGAAAATAATGATATTTTCTTATTAAAATGTCAATGTAGCTGATTCTAATGAACTCTCTTCTTCTTCAGTACAGCTCTATATGTATTTTACCAATGACTGTCATTTCATTAACTGAGCAAATATTTTGAGAATGGAGGAAATTCTGAAAAATGTTATTTTGCCTATATTTACCTGCTGCAAAACAAAAAATATTTCCACCCTTTTATGCCTCTAGCCATGTGTATGTTTTCATGAGAAGCACTGAGGAGAGAAATATTAACACCACAACCACCATATTTGAGTGAAAAATGTGAAATGAATGAATGGTGTGGAAAGAGGAACGTATTTTATAAGATTATCTACTATTGTTAGATGAAATGTGCAAATTTTAAGGTGTTCAAGTCTCTCTTGAAGTCTACAACAGAATCAGAAAGTAATTTTAACACTATTTTTGTACATTTAACTTGGTTAAGTTAGGTAGACCACAAGAGAGGGAAAGTGGCCCATTATCCAAGTACCAGTATAGGTTAGGGGTGGATCTGCTGGAAAGTAGTTCAGAGAAGGAGCTTGGAGTCCTTACAGACAGTAAATTATCCATGACCCAGCAATGTGCCCTTGCTGCCAAGAAGGCCTATGGAATCCTAGGCTGCATAAAGAAGAGTGTGACCAGTAGTTTGAGAGGTCATTCTCCCCCTTTACTCTGCCCTGGTGAGGCCACAGCTGGAATACTGCATCCAGTTCTGGGCTCCACAGTTCCAGAGAGACAGGGAACTGTGGAGAGAGTCCAGAGGAGGGTGATGAAGATGATAAGGG